ATTCATACAAAAGAATATTGTTCAGCCATAAAAAAGAATGATACATACTACAATACAGATGAACCTTCAAAACATTATGCTAAGTGAACTAGCCAGACGCAAAGGGGCAAATATTGTATGATTCCACTTATATTAAATATCTATAATAGGAAAATTCATAAAGACAGAAAATAGATTAGAGGTTACCAGAGGCTGGAGGGGCAGGGAAGATGAGGAGTTATTGCTTAATGGTTACTGAGTTTCTGTTTAGGGTGATAAAAAAATTTTGGAGGGGCCGGCCTGGTGGTGTAGTTAGCAGATTCAGATCCCAGGCATAGACCTACACACCGCTCATCAAGCCTTGCTGTGGCAGTGTCCACATACAAAAACATAGAGGAAGATTGGCACAGATGTTAGCTCAGCGACAATCTTCCTCAAGCAAAAAGAGGAAGATTGGCAACAGATGTTAGCTCAGGGCCAATCTGCCTCACTACCCCCACCAAAAAAGAAAAACTCTTTGGAAATAACAGTAATGGTTACACAACATTGTGAATGTAATTAATGCCACTGAATTGTACACTTAAAATAGTAAATGTTATTATATATATATATGTATGCATCCACAATTTAAAAACATAATAACATAATATACCATAAACCATTGAATTGTACACTTTAAATAGGTGAATTGCATGGTATGTAAATTATATCTCGATGAAGTTGCTAAAAAGCTGAAAGCCTGTGAGGTGCTCCTTTGTTAGGAGGAAAGGTGTCATTACTTTTCTCTTCCTGTGATAGGCCACGGGATAGGCCATACTAATTAGTGTAACAGTGTAAAATAGAATGGTACTGTGATTAACTGTTGCACAGCAAGAATGTGTTATATGTTAATAGGGTGATCTTATGCATGCTGACATGCTATTATGCTATAAAAGGCTTCTGGGCTTCTCCAACTTGGGGAATTGCTCACTTAGCTGGGGGAGGCAACAGCTGACCACAGAACTTCAGATTCCTTCTTGTTAGAAAGTCATTGTGGAGCTTTGTCCTCGCGCGAGTATCCTTGAGCTCATGTAAAATATTTATACTATTTGTTTGCTGGTTTGGCAGTAAACCAAAAGAATGCAACCCAGAACCATACCCAGCCATCTTTGAAATGGTGCCTGACTCTAGCACGAGTATTGTTGAGTACATTTTGAACATTTTACCCTGAGAAGCTATCACTTTTTGCCCTGAACATAAGTAGAATAAGCAACAGAACTGATGCTCCAACAATGAAAACTAGGTTGAGCTAGTTTCGTTTGGAGCCAGAGGAAAGTTACGATGAAGAAGAAGAATTTAAATTGAAATGAAGTGTACACAGACATTAGTCAAATACAAATTTTGATTAATTTATGTTATTACAAACAAAGAAAATAGCAGAGGATGGAAGCCTTAGTTCAGAAATGATTTAGTATATTCTGGTAACAGAGATAAAACTGCTGTGACTGGAGCTTAGTAGCATGAAAGAGGTGTTGTGTAGACCATAGTAAGGATTATGGATTTTATTCTAAGGGAAAATGTGAAGACTGAAGGATTTTATGCATAGGAAATAACATGATCAGATTTTTGTTTGAAGAACCTCAATCTGGGTATTGTGTGGGAAAATATGGATTGGAAAGAACAAGAATGAGTGGAACGACTAAGAGGAAATTGTAATACTTTAGCAGGAGATGTTAATGCTTTGGACAACTGTAGTGATAAGGATATTAGAGACAATTAAGTAAGTCAAGATATACTCAGGAAATAGAACTAGAAAGATTTGTAGACAAAATAGATTTGGGTGGCTGAAGGAGAGGAAAGTGTCAAGAATAACTGTATCCTAGGTTTAGGGCCCAAGAAATTGGGTGGATGTTGGCCCCACTTATAACAGAAAAAGTGAGGTAGAGAATAGAGAGGTGATGTGGTTACTTTTGGGTCATTTTGATTTTGAGATGCCTATAAGACATTCAAGTGGAAATATAAAATTGGAAGAGGGGTCTGAGAAATATTACTTTGGAGTCAACATATAGATGTTATTAAAACCGAGAGACTGAACAAAATTGTCCAGTGGAAGAGAGAATAGTGAGACCTGATGCTCAGACCAAGCAGCTCCAACATTCAAAGGCTAAGCATAGAAGGGACAACATTCAAAGAAGTCCGGGAAGGGGCAGACAGAAGTATGATGAAAAACAGGGGCCCTGCTGTAATGGAAGTAAAGAGAAGAGAATGTTGAATAAAGGAAGGCTTGGCAAAGTAAAATAGTGTAAGAATTGAAGTTTCCACCAGATTTAGTAATATGGTCATTGTTAATCTTAGAAATAGTTTTGGTAGCACTGTGTGTGGGTGAAAGCCATACTGTATTTCTCTGAGAAGTGATGTAAGGTGGTTAAATGTTAATAGCAAGTGTGGACACCCTTTTGAGGAGGTTTGGCTGAAAAGGGTCCAAGAACTAGTACTAGAGATGCAGGTAGAATCCGTGTTCTGCCATCTACTATTTGTTCAACCATTGGCAAATTACTTACTATCTCTGATTATGTACCCTAATGGGGATGATGCCAACAAGAGTGCCTACCTCAAAGGGTTGGTTGAAGCGTGTTTATAACAACAATACTTTGCTCCTTAGTAAGCACTTAATAAATGTAAGCTATGATTATCCTTGATCTGGATATTATAATATCCTTAATATTAGTGGGATCTTCTAAGCCACAAACTAGACCTCATATTCTTCAAAAAATTTCTAGCTAGGAACACCAAAGCCAAGACAATCAGAAGATAAAGACAGATAGGAAAAATTAAGGTCTGTTTATCCTAAGTAACCATTTTAATTTCTTATTACTATTACTTGGTTTAAAAGCCTTTCCAATTTCCCATTCTCTTACATCCAAATATGTTATTTTTACATGTATCCTGCTATCCTACAATGTTTTATTGCAGAGATAAAATGCAGTGTTTTTGTTACATCCATTGGCTTAAAATTATTGTGAAATTATAAGGATATTTTAAAAATTCTTTTTAATCAGAAAAGACATTTATCTGGGGAACTTATTCTGTATAATTTATAGACTATATATTATCTTCCTATTTCTACTGTATGTTGCATATTGTCCGTATAAATTTATGAAGAGAAACTTTTGGCAGATACTAAATCACTAAATTAAAAAAACAGTTTAGAATATTTTGCATATTTACTTTTTATATTTCTTATTTATGTATATTTCATATGCCTTTTAAAAATACAAATTGAGCTTTTCATTTTGCTCTGTTTCAATTGGCTTTTTTTGAGCTGTAATGCATCTATTTTAAACAGAGATATTTCTCACATTTTAATTTAAAACATTCAGTTCATTACTATGGACCCACCTAGTGTCGACTTTTCAAATTCATTTCCTTACTGTGTGTATGCTTATGCTATACATCATATAAATCGTATAATAAACGAAATGCTTAAATAATCTTAACATTTACAAGCTCATTTCAAAATCTTAATGTTTCTGTTTCCTTTCTTATGGTATGCATTGTATGCAACATAAACAATCTGAAAATAATTACTATGGGTTAAATGCAGAGCTGCTACAAAGCATCTTATTGCTCTTTTCAGCATCACTCACTCAAGGGGAAAATATAATCACTGGTATGAAGAGTAGTATTATTGAGAGAGGTCATTTTACATATGAATTTGTGTGATTTATTTTATGCACTGGAGTTACTTTTCTAAGTTTATAGACAATACCTTATTGGCTGTAATAGCTGCTACCACATATACTGCATTTCACAGTTTACAAAGCATTTTTCATGTATAATATTAACTATTTATATAATTTCTGCAAGATAGGTATTGTTATCACCCCCAATTTACAAATGAGGCAACTGAGGATCAGAGAGGTATTAGGGCAGAATTACAACTTGAACCTAGGTTCTCTGACTTAATATAATAAATGTTTGTGTTTATTCACTAAATTATATTGCTTCTGAGATTTTGGTATATAAATCAATCAATACATAGCTATTATAGGTAACTCTGTACTCAGTATGCACATTACATAAAATTTGGCCTGGCTATCACATACATAATGTGTCAATGTTCAGAAACTGGCCTACTTGCTAATTAAATTAATAAGATTTAATTAACTTGACTGAGCAGGTTCAATATATTTTTCTTCATTGCTTTTCTGTAATCTCACTGCTGGTCAAATAAAATATTTCATTTAAATCAACTTAATTTTAATGTGTTTATTTTCAATATAGATAATACATTGAAATATAAAACTTAATACTTAAATGTTTTTGACAATCACTGCACAAAATTTCCTGCCTTTCAGTTTCTGCCTAAATAGAAACAGACTTGTTCCTTTCCCTTGTCCGGGAGGGAAAAAAGTCCAGTACAGGCCATTTACCCAAGCAAACCTCTGAAGGCATTCACTTGCTCGTTTTTGAATACTGGGTTTCCCTCTAAAATGGAGAGAAAGAAATGGAGGGGAGAGGGAGAGGAGAAAAAGTGTTGGATTCCCATCCCTTCTTGCCACTACTACTGCTCGGCTCGGACAACTGAGTATGCAGAAGGACATTTCTGCTGCTGCTTTGAAATCTTGACTAAATAATGAAATTTGCATCCAGTAATAGACAACACAAAATTTGTAAGGTTGAATATCACTATGGTCTGGCCGTGGGTCTCAAGGTGCCACAAAGCCACTTCTAAGAATGCAAACTTGTTGCTTAGGTTTGCATATCTGCCGAGTGGTTGTGGTTGTTACTCTGAGAGTATCACAAGGGGATCCTAAGCCCCTATGCGGAAGGTCAGTCCACAATTTGTCCATGAAGTTGTCACTCCTGGGGGGCTCTACCTGTGGTCTTGGTGCCTGAGGTCCCCATCACCCCCCCAGCTATAGGGGCTGTTGTTTTCCAGGCAGGATCTGACAACGGTCCAACATGCTGTGGCCACCATTATTAAACCTTAAGTCGTCAGCAAAACCAAAGGACAAGTTGATAGGCAGGGTGTCTCTCACCTCCAACAGGGCGGCGCAGGGCACCAGAGGGTGATTGGGCCTGCCCACTCTCACGGTTCAGGCCGCCGTGCATGCCACCAAGCCCCTGTTCTCGACACTGGACGTGGACAGGTTGCAAAGCCTCCACGACAACGGCAGTCAGCCAACAGCGCCTTCTTGGTGACACCTCTGCCCTGCGGTAGATAGTGTCGTGCGCAGGGCACGTCGCGGACGTCGATGCGCACGTCAGGCACGTTCCCTTCGTGCCTTGCCCGCGCTGGGGCTGCCGGGAACCGCTCTCGAGCCGCCCTTGGCCTGGTCCTGGCCATCGCCTTTGGGGAGGTGTGCGCCACCAGTGGCTTGTATTGCAAGTGTAGGTCTTTGCAAGCGCACCTTGCCAGCTTTCTGATATTATGGGTCACTGTCAAAGGTTCATTTCTCGAGGTGGGCCAAAACTTAGTGGAAGCGTGTAAATGTGCTTTTAATTTTATAGACATATAGATGCCCATATATGTGTATTTATATGAATGAGCATGCGTTTATATTGAAAATAATCAAATAAGGCCTTTTTTGCTCTATGTGAGGTGCTTGAAGTGTTTGAAAAACACTGAGGTGAATCGTTGTCCTGGGTTACCTAGTGTTTTTCATATATATTGTATATGTATATATTTTACATATGTATATGCATACGTACATCTCACTAATAAAGTATATGGCCAACAGTTAGGGAGATGCCCATTGTAATGCTGGACTTTACACATCTAGACTATTAACAGTTTTCTTTCAGAGTATATTATGTTAGCTTCATTTTCAAGGTTGGCCTAAAAGGAGATGTGAACATGTTATATCCTTCCAGACAATCTATATTGGGACCTCTATGCTAACAGGACAACTATGTATATTTCAAGGAAGCGTAAAATGCTTAATAACATAGGTATGTCTTTTCTGCCCCAGAAGTGGTGGCAAGGTAAATAAAGGGGATATTAAACGAATGTTTCTGAGGAATGCATGTGAATGGTGGGAAATAGGATGACAATTACAGTCATAGAGAATATTGAGAAAGTGGAAAAAAGGTTATAGGGAAAAAAGGACAAACATGATAAAATAAGACATTTGCAGTATACATTATAAAATATTTATAAGTATCTAGTTTAAATCTTTTAGGATTCCAATACTTATCTCCCATAATATATCTCCATGTACTTCTGCAGACATTTAGAATTAGTTTGGTGTGATGCTTTTCTAACTATGCTTTGAAGAGAGAGGTTTAGCAGAATACTCTTCGAGCTAAACTCTACTCCAGCTCCTGCCATATAAACTTATTGCTCTTCTTCAGTTTAATATTTCTATTCTCCCTAAGTTTTGTTTGTTTGGTTTTTGAGATAGTGTTGCAAGTTTAAAAAGTTTGAAGCCTACTGCTTTAGATTTTTATTAACCAGTTATAACTAGCTTATTACCAGCCTGGTTTTATTTACAGTATGCTTGTTTAAATAGTGTGCACTTTGGATGCAAAAACTACCCATTGAATAAAATTTATAGTCTTCTAACTTGTTGAACTTCATTCATGCATGCATGCGTGCATGCCAGACTTAGCATATATATAGTCAGTTGTAATCCTGTTGAACATATCTCTGAAAGCTCTCTGAGGTCAGGTCATGAAATTAACCAGTCTAGTTCTCCTTGGTACAGAGTTTTGCACTTACATGGGTATGTTACATTCAGAGATCAAGGACAATTCCTTGAATTCTGCATCTGCTTTTATAATTACTTAAATGTAGGTATGCAGACAGAACTGCATATGTGTGACAGAAAAGTGTGATTATAGTGTTTGACAGGAATTGTAGGAAAATAGAAATGAGATGAATTTATTGGTTTTGAAGTAATAGAACATAAGTAATGTCTCATTTGCAATTTTCATGACCAGTCGTATGCTCAGGCAGCATTTCCTGTTTTCTCCTGTGCTTCCTCAGCATGTTAATGGAGTAGCTTCCTATTTGTTTAATTGGCTTAAGAATTTATTTAAACATGTTTTAATTTAGAGGAGGTTATTTGCCCTTTTTTTTAAACTTAGATGCATCCATTAAAATGTCCTATATGTAATAGTACAGTTCCCTTTTAAAAGAATGTGCTTGCTTTCCTTAAACTGAAGAAGTGTGGGCATCTTTAACACGTGTCTTGGTATTTGTAGTTCCCCTGCCATGCTTCCAGAATATCAGAATGATAAGGGGAAATCGTTAGATTCTCTCCATTTAATTTAACAGTTTTAATTGGACAGGATCATTATTATATTTTCTTTTAGTGAATTGCGGGTTGCTTTCTCAGTGAATCAAACTGTTCAGGTTGCTTATGAGGTTCAGCCCTTGGCATAATGTCACTAATGATTTCTACAGGACCTTGAAATAAAGCAACAGGAAAATCTATCAACAAAGAGATGTAAATGGAATATTTTTAGATCAAAAATAAGATTCAGATCTTTGTACTGGAAGAAAAGGACAACAGTGGGCAATTGCATACTTGATCACTTTAAATGCAATCAAAATGGCAGTGACTGCCTAATTGCCAAAATAGCATCTGGTCACATGGAAAAATGGAATGGCACTTGTATTTGACCGGGATTATTGCCATTATGAAATTAATAAAGAAGTCCATTATGTTATAAAAGCAGTAGCTAGTCTATTATTTTTTCCTCAAAAACTTTAGACATTTTTAAAATTCAGCATTTTTTTCTCTCACTGGTGTATCTTTCCTAGAGTAGGCCTGCAGTTGATATTTTTCTCTTGCAGTTCCTAATGTGGAGATCCTATGTTGTTTCTAGTCTTTCTTATGGAAGGGAATAAAATATTTGTGTGGATATGTTCCTGGATGTGTGGTGTGTTTGTGCCCGAATTGTGTGTGTGTGTGTGTGTGTGTGTGTGTGTTTGCAAAGGGGTGGGAAAAGGGTGTAGAATTTACGGTTTCATTTTACCAGAGATGAACTCTGTTTTCCTAGTATTTTAAAACCATCTCTCACCAGTGATTGCCTAATTGTCAAAATCAATGACTTTTTAAATGGACCTCTTTTAAAAAAAATTGTCATTATGTTGTTAGTCCTTTCTTGAAATTATCCTTTCTAGTTTAGTGCTTTATTCACCTTATACAACAGCCTTTCGTACTTATGAAATAAAATGTACTTTTTCTAGGATATTTTTATACACTTCAGTGTAGTATTTCCATCTCTAAGTTGGAAACTTCTACTTAGGTGTTCTGCCATTATGTCAATTCAGTGTAACATCACTTTGCCCACAAAGAAAATCTCAACTTCCAAACTTCTGTTAATACCACCACTGTTGTCCATGGACTTTGACACACCACCGCATATTATTTCTTACACTTCAATCCTAGTCTACGTAAGTGTTCTTTGAGGAAATACTATTTAAACCTAGATGTGAAGATAATGATGGGGGAGCATGCCCCAGCCTTGGGAAACAGATTATGCAATGGCCTCGTGATACCAGTACACACAAACTTATGGGTCCTGAAGTCTCCTGATTTTTTCCTTCAGATAGAGAATGCCATGAGTGTCACAGAACTTTGAAATAGTCTGGAGGGTACGATAATGAACAAGATGAAGCATCTGTCTTTATACAGCTTAGAGTCCAGTGGTGGGAACTTACATTCTCCTAGGTGTTATTGGAGTCCCAAGAAAGATAACAGGTGAAGGATCAAGATAGGATTGTAATAGTGTCTGATTCTTCAACAAATTTTAAAGGATAAGTAGAAATTAGCCTGATACATTGGGGTAAGGGAGTGTGGGAGGTATTGCAGAAGGAATGTCCATTTCACACAAATGCATTGAAGGAAGAAAGAACAGGCTGTTTGCCAGCAGCTCTACCAGTCTGGTGTAGCTGGAGCATGAAGTTCATGGCATGTAGGGAGAGATGAGCCTGGATAAGGAGACCATGACAGAGCACAAAGACATGTTAAGGACATGTTAAGGACTTTTGATTTATAATAAGGTGATCATATCTTAAACTGGAGTTACATGCAAGCCTGTTTTATTTTTATTTATTATTAATTTGTTTTTTATTTTTATGAGGAAGATTGGCCCTGAGCTAGCATCTGTTGCCAGCCTTCCTCTTTTTGCTTGAGGAAGATTGTTGCTGAGTTAACATCTGTGTCAATCTCCCTCTATTTTATATGGGGTGCTGCCACAGTGTGGCTTGAGGAGCAGCACTGGGTCTGTACCTGGGATCTAAACCTGCAAACTCTGGCTGCCAAAGTGGGGTGCATGAACTTAACCACTACGCCACCAGGCCGGCCCCCAAGCCTCTTTTAAAGAAAAAAATTAGATACTTTCAAGAATATTGTCACTGTGGTCTTTGAATTCCAGTTAAGGAAGCATTTATTTCAGAAACTAGCATCATAGTTTATGAAAATATCTTTAAGTTGAGAAGTATCATTAAAAATGAAAATTTTGGTCTTTCTAACAAGTAAAATACTTTTTAATAACAAAAAAATTACATATTAATTACAGGCCTATAAAGCTACATCTGTGTGGGGTCTCCTGATCTGAAATTTGAGAAATATTGTGTATAGTTGGTGGACAACCATTGGAACGGTTTTAGTTTAATTAGATGTGTATTTAAATAATTTAATTTATGTATATTTAAATTTTTTTAAAAAAGTAATGGATTCACATTCCAAATAAAGAAAAAATATAAAAAGCTAAAAGAGCATACAGCAAAAAGTTTTAATCTCATACCTATCTTTCATCTGTCCATTTTCCACCTCTCTCTGTCCCCACCATTATACCCATTTTTGTTTCATTTTCTTGGATGTCTTTCCAAAGTTTTCTTATGCACATGTAAGCAAAAAGAAGTATCTCTAATAAATTCCCAGAAGTGGAATTGCATTTGTAATTTTGGTAGATATTTGCAAATAGCTGTCCATAAGGGTTATATTGATACACATTTCTACTAGTAATGTGTAAGAGTGCCTGTTTCTATAAGTCGCAAACAGACTGCGTTAGTAAGCTTTTGCTATGTTAACAAACTCCACTTTTTCCATGGACTGCAATTTTTAAAAAAATTTTTTCTTGCTTGTGTTACTTGAGGGCTCTGGGTTTGCTGTGGGTTAGCAGCATGTTGGCTTGTTTGAACTGGGCTGGAGTCCATTTGGCTCCATGTCTCTTCTCATTCTAGAACCCAGATCGTGGACTAGCACTTATCTGGGATATGCTATTTTCATGGTGGAAGGCAGAAATAGGATAAGTTGGTTGAGTCCAATCAAATGTTCACACAGAAAACTCCATATTCCATTGGCCAAAGCAAGTAACATGTTTAAGACAAAGTCAGTGGGGTAGGAGGTAAAATAGCAAGGGAGAGAACAGACTATTTTTGAATGAATAATACAATCTGACATAAAATGTTAATCAAAGTTTTGATTTTTTTGCCAAGCTGATAGGTTAAAAAAAAGATTATCACATTGTATGTAGCTGTAAATTTCATTTTCATTAGAAGATGTTGGGCATCTTTCTTTTGTTTAAGAACCATTTCTATTTTTGAAGAAGTTATATTATTTTCCTGTTTTACTATTGGATTGTTGATGTTTTTCTCATAGATTTCAAGGAGGTCTTTACATATCATGAAGGCTAGCTCTTTTCTTTGATATGGGTTACATATATTTTTTTCCCAACTGGTTTCATGTCTTTTGATTTGTTTATGGTGCTTCTTGTCATTAAGAAGTTTTTGGTGTTTATATGGTTGGATTTATTAATCTTTTATGGCTTCTGAATTTTGATCCTTTGTTAGTAAGACTTCTCTACTTCAAGATTATATTAGAGTTTGCTCATGTTCCCTTCTGATAGATTTCTGGCTTTATTCTTTACATTTAAATCTTTATCCATTTGAAGTTTATATTCTTGTTTGCATTGGTCATGAGGTAATCATAGAGCATTTGTTGAATATCACCTATATCATTTACTAAGTAGCATATACTAAATCCCCCCTATGTGTTTAGTTTTTTCCCCCTATACTTTCTTTTCTATTCCTTTGGTCTTTCAGTCATTCAGTATACATTGTTGTAATCATTGAGATTCTATATTATGTTTTAATTTCTGGTAAGCTGAGCTCTGTTTTTTTTTCCCAGAGAGTCTTTCTGATTATTCTTGTTTGTTTATTTTTTCACATAAACTTTTGAATTAGCTTGTCTAATTCAAATTTGTCTAATTCCAGTTCTAATTTGAACTCATTAAATTTATACATTAATTTGGAAAGAAATGTTATTTTTATCATATTGATTTTACCTATCCAGGAACATGGTATGTCTTTCCATATCATGTTAAATGTTTCTTCAGGTAGGTCTTGTATGTGAATGAGTTTATTCTTCGATGTTTTATCTTTTGTGTTAGTAATGCTAATAGGATCTTTTCCCCCCATTATCTCTTGATAACTGGGTGTTATCCTATATGTGAAAGCTATTGATTTCTACGTATGAGTTTTGTTCCCCACCGTAATTGTGAATTCTCATAATGCTTCTGGGGTTTTCAGTTGATTCTCTAATCTATGCTTTATTAACACCAACAAACAATTCTAAATTCTTGAAGTTCAGAAAATGGTCATCTTATTTTAAAATCACTTGTTACTTAAACTCCCCGCAGAATTTTATTTGTTTTACTAAATAGTACTTTTATGATTTTATCTTGTACTGCAGAAAACTTTTGGAAGTAGCTTTCTTGTGTACTGGAATAGGCACTAGGTTTATGATTGGAAGCCTTGGGTTCAAATTATAGTTCTGCCTCTTACTAGCTGTGTAGTTGGAATTTAGTTAATTTTTGTCCCTATACTTTATTTACCTTTTCTGTGTCATGGAACTAATACCAGTAACTGAGACATTCCAGATTTGTTTTGAAAATTAAATGAATTAATCTGTGTAAAAATTGTAAATTTCTAGTTAGTAAGAACTTGATAAATTTTTTATTGGAACAGGCAAGAATGTCAGTATCTTGTACTAGATCACAATTCCTTGGGGAAAAAAAAGTTTATCTTTGCATTGTCAACTTTTATCAGAGTGCTCTGGCCAGAAAGCATGCTCATAAAAAAACATTACATGTATTGATTTTTTTTTTTTTAACTCAATACGTCAAGCAAAATTCAGAGTACACACTCAATACTAGAATAATGTTTTTTAAGTTAACTTGTTAATTAGGATTAAGACTAGTAGTCCACTTACAAAGACCGAATAAGTCTGAAGTTTGGTCCCTAAACCAGGAAGGACATGCATTGCCTTAGGTATATTTTTATTTTGTTAAAGATGTGCTTAGGATGCTGGCATATCTTAGAGATGCTTATAGTCTTGTAGTTCATGCTTTGACTTTAAGCAAGATTTAAAATTAAAAAGCTTTCGGATTACAGACCCATGATTTGTTTAGAGTTAGTTAACATTTAGGTCTTTTTAAATACTGTTGTACCATCTGATACCTAAATAGTTGTTCAACTTCAGGGAAATTTACAAATATCAATTTATGGGTTTTTTTAATTTATGAAAATATTTAGTATAAACAATAAAATATTCATATATATATGGCTTACAAGTGTAAATTAAAGATTCTATACACACTTATTGAGTGATTGTATGAATATATTCTTTTGGTAATGGCTATTTTCTTGCATTTTCATCCTGTGCATAGTCTGACAGAATTATTTTCTAAATTATGGCAGTAAGTCATTTTTGTTAACAATAACAAGAAAAAAAGAAGCTGTTTATTTGGCAGGAGTTCTACAGAGTGTCCACAAAATTCATTTTAAAAACTTGGTTTTCTTGAACACAGTTCGCCTGTCAGGATTTCTAACATTTCAACATTTTAGTTTGTCTTTGAGTTTCTCATTTGATGTTTTGAAAATTTGGATGAAGGCTGAATCCCTTGTATTTATTTCCCCCTACATGCCAGTCACTGCCATCACACGCTTATGATGTGTTCAATATACTAACAAACCACTTTTAATTCTCTCATTGAATTAGGTAATGGTAATAAACATAATTGTATTTAACAGAGAAAATGAAATTTGTGTCTTGAAAATTCAAGAACCCCAAATTTTCAGAATCTCAAATAGATGTATTTAGTAATAAAATTAGTTCTTTCAAAAACATGGTCATTTTTTTGTGACCAGTTAAGTTCTCCTTGTTGTTTTAACTTAATTGAGTTTAGCTGAATTAACTGTAATTAATAGAAGATTTATTTTCCTCATTACCTTATATTGATGTGCGAATGTACACTTATGACTTATACTTTAATGGATTAAAATAAACTACAAGGACTAGTCTTAAAACTTTTTTAAAAGGATATATAACTAGGATGCAACTGAGAAGGATAAGAAATTTTGTTTTGCAAATTACAAAGTAATTTATCAAAGAAGAGATTTTATGGCCAGAATTTGAGAGTCAAGAAATCTTAAAATTTGTTTTCCCTGAGGTGTTAAACACTTAGACAAGACTACATCACTAGTAAGGGAGGAATGGAGCCTCACTTAGAGCACAGGCCTCCTAACTTTCAGCTTTAGCCCCAATTCTTTCCCCTGTGCCGTTCTAGATGTAAGGAGACTGAACATTGTTAATAGGTAATATTTTCATTTACTATGAATAACAATTATTTGTCATCTGCTTAGTATTCATTTAAAGGAAAATACAGAGTATAGATAACTGTAATCAACTTAGAAATGAAGCTAAGTATTCAAATATTTTCATACTTTACTCAATTCTGGCTCTTATTCCTTCTTTGATTAGTTAATATCAAGAAATACATACAACATCTACAGGGGAAAATCTTCCCTGAAAAGATGTGTACTAAATATTTTACAGAAATTTTCTAATAAGTAAGAATCCAAGCCATGTGTAGCAATATTATGGTGTTACTTCTCACTTTGCTGCTGTCTCTAGGTAAGATGTGGGTGCAGCATGTTCTCTGTATTTCTTTCTAGGTTGAGAAATTACAATACAGAAAATCTGGTGGTGAAGAGCACGTTTTTAGGGTGTGGTCCCATTTGAATGTCTTCTCTTCTCGTGGGTTATATAGATCTTTTTCAATAGGAGTCTTCTGATTTTTTACCACGAGA